TCTCTCTCTCTCTCTCTCTCTCTCTCTCTCGCTCTCGCTCGCGCCCCCTCTCTCTCTCTCTCGCTCTCTCTCTCTCTCTCTCTTCTACTCTGTATTTATACCAGCCTCTCTCACCCTCTCTCCCCCTATCTATGTATCCCTCATCTCTATCACACGCCCCCTCTCACTTCATCTGCTCACGCTCCTCCTCTCTCCCGCACATCTCCCTCGCACCAAGCCACGTACCAGCTGGTTTTGGTAGGCGGTGACGGCGGTGAACACTGTCTCTGTAAAGATGTAAGTTCTGTGAAGCTCAGCGTCCAGGTCTGCAGGCGAGACGAGTGAAGGTCGACAGTCGAGGTCACAACGAAGCTGCACAAGGTGGATGCGTGGCTGATAGCGGTGCATAGAGTTCAGAATAATCTGCAATGTATAAAGAGGATAATGATGATGATGATGATGATGATGATGATGATGATGATGATGATGATGATGATGATGATGATAATAATAATAATAATAATAATAATAATAATGAAAATAATGAAAATAATAACAATAATAATAATAATAAATAATAATGACTAATAGTAATGATCATTATTATAAATCTATTAATAAAATCAAGAAAATATTTAAATAATAAAACGATGAAAGTTGCGAAATTTCTCCACCGTTTTTCGCGTGAACTATGATTATACGAATACCACTCTTATTATTTTGTTATACCAAACCGGATCCCCACATAATAGCAAACTTCCCCTAAACTACGTTACACAGTCAATCAGTAATCAAACTATCAATCGTGAGAAATTGGCAGTATTGAAGGCAATAGTAATGTAAAAAAAAATCCTGGAGATGTTAGTGCCATACGAGTAAGTGGTCACACTGTAAGCGTGTGCGTACACATGCTGTACAAGTATCAAGTAAGTTATCAGCGCTTGTAAAGCAGTGCTATACATTTACTGTTTACGATTTGAGCATGGAATATTTAATTTGGCTTCGTCCTAAAACCCACGTAATATCGAGTTTAATCTTGCTATATCAATCGAAGTAAAATCATTACTTCGTATTTCTCCAACAACGCAATTCAAACTGCCACGCAAACGTTATACGGATCGTCTTATGAGATGCATAATGATATACTGTCATTATGAAAGCAGTGTGTGTGTGTGTGTGTGTCTGACAGTGATGTGTGTATGTGTGTGTGTGTGTGTGTGTGTGTGTGTGTGTGTGTGTGTGTGTGTTGTGTGTTGTGTGAGGGGGATGGAGTTGTGTGTGTGCATCGTACTTCAGAATACGTTGAAGCCGGGC